GGATGGGAAGGGATGGGAAGGGTAAACAAAGGAGGAGGCTACAATGCTTGATAAGAAATGTACTCATTATCTTGCCCTTGTAATTGTAACCCCTCTGTACAGTATTTTCACAATTTAAAAAAAAAAAAGAAAAGTAGAGCTCTTCAGTCAATTTAGGTATCCATCCATAACATACTGGCTTTCTATTATGTAAAAAGCTACAAGTAGATCCCTATTTATGCTTATACAAACATATACACAATACAAATAAAATTTGATTTAAGTATGCCTATCTCAAGTACACTAAAATCTATTAAAATAAATCTCATTGAGCATTTTAAATTAGTAGCTCTACTTTCCTAAACAAACATTCTTTACCTTCTGCTTATATACTCCCATACATGCTTAACAGTTTATTATATGGATAAATACAAAAGTTAGTAGTTATATATAAGAATTTACCTATAAGTCTTTCTTTTTGTCTTTTTATATAAGAGTACCAGAGATGAAATACTAATTTTTGAAGTTTTAAATGGTAATGTTCTATTGCTGTCTCCATTTTTGTCACTGAGATAACACTGCCATTTATGTGAGCTGCTGTCACGTCTCTCCAAGTGCTGCAGGAGGAGACACAGAAGAATAATATTTTGATGTTAGGAAAATAAATAAATAAATTAGGAGGAATAAGAAATAATGCTTTCTTTCTCCCCTCAAAGGCCAATCATAGAAGGGGAAAAAAAGCAACTTGCATGAGTTAGGTATATCCTGAAGAATTTCTGATGACCCTACAAGGACAGGAGATTATATGATAGTCATATTTCTTTTTTAGACAAGATAAATCATGGAATAACATTATAAAAATTTTAATTTACCAAAAGACTCACTGTAATGCTGATTTTAAAGGAAGGAGATAGAAAGTCCAAAATATATTGGACCTCAATGATTTCAGAAAAGTTATATACCAAAAAAGTTATATACCAGGAAGAGCTGGGTACTGGTGGCTCATGCCTGTAATCTTAACTACTCAAGAGGCTGAGATCCAAGGATCTCAGTTCAAAGCCAGCTTGGGCAGGAAGGTCCATGAAACTATTATCTCCAATTAACTACTCAGAAAAAACTGGAAATGGTGCTCTGGCTCTAGTGGTAGTCTTGAGCACGAAGATGCTCAAGGACAGTGCCCAGGACCTGAGTTCAAGCCAAAGTGGGGAGGGAGGAGGAGGAGGAGGAGGGAGGGGGAGGAGGAGGAGGAAGGGGAAGGGAAAGGGGAAGGGGAAGGAGAAGAAGAAGAAGAAGAAGAAGAAGAAGAAGAAGAAGAAGAAGAAGAAGAAGAAGAAGAAGAAGAAGAAGACGTTGTTTTAAATAAATACAAGCTGACTAAATATTAAAGAACTAATATAAAATGACTTTAAAACTTTAAAAGATAAAATCACAATTGGCCCTAAGTGGGGAGAATATCATTAATAAAAACACAAATAAATAAATAATATATAAAATTCATATTCTTACCAAAAGTGGGTCTTTACTAGATGCCCAGTGTAGAAAGTGCATGCTTTTATCATCAGTTCTGGAGTCATCTAAAATAAACAAACAACTGAAATAATTGAAATCAGAAATAAATAGGGTCTATGGCAAATAAATAGGGTCTATTTGCCTATGACAAATCCACCAGAGAATGAGAGCAATGATTGCCTCCAGGAGCGTAACTGGGCACCTGGGAGTAGGCAATGGATTGAAAGAACAATCTGCTGCTTACATAGTTAGGAATTTTATTACATATGCCATTGTCTACTTTCTAAAAGTTAGAGTCATACCTTAAAGTCATCCCATTACATTAGACTTACCTTAAAGAACTTTCAAGTAAGCATTGAGGCATTGTTATTATTAGCTACATTAACAAGAGTACGGAACTGTAGATCTGCTGGTCACTATTAAGATTTAGTAAAGCTTGGTGCTGGTGGCTCACACCTATAATCCTAGCTATTCAAGAGACTGAGATCTGAGGATCGCAGTTCAAAGCCAGCCTGGACAGGAAAGTCTGTAAGACTCTTATCTCCAATAAACTACTCAGAAAAAAAACCAGAAGTGCCCCCCTGTGACTTAAGTGGTAGAATGCTAACCTTAAGCACAAGGTTGCTCAGGGACAGCGTCCAGGTCCTGAGTTCAATCCCCAGGATTGGTACACACACACACACACACACACACACACACACACACACACACAATTAAAAAAAGGATTGAGTGATTTGCTTCTTGGAGGTATAAAATGAGATTATTTTCTATTTTCTTTTTGGGAGGGCTGTCTCAGGACCCCAGGGCAATCCTGGGGCTTGAACTCAGGGTATGTGCACTGTCCCTCCATTTTTGCTTGAGGCTAGTGCTCTATCACTTGAGCCACAGCTTTTTGGTAGTTAATTAGACATAAGAGTCTCACAGATGGGCTGGGAAGGTGGCTCAGTGGTAGAGTGCTTGCCTTCCTTGCATGCCTGAGGCCCTGGGTTTGATTCCTCAGCACCACATAAGCAAAAAGAAAAAAGCCAGAAGTGGTGCTGTGGCTCAAGTGGTAGAGTGCTAGCTTTGAGCTGAAGAGCTGAGAACAGAGCCCAGGCCCAGAGTTCAAGCCCCCGACTGACAAAAAAGAGACAAACAATTAGAACAACAGTGTTAGATATTATTACTCAAAACTTTAAATTTTCTGATATTAATTCCCCATATGAAAAAGTGAAAAACTCAAGTATGAAACCAAAATAAAGTATTCAAGTATATTCTAGCCATTGGACTAATATTGCCAAAAATGAACTACACAAGTACAAACCAATATAGAAATTATAGAAATTACAATTGAAGAACAGACTTTACTAGGCCATTTGTCTTTGTTTTTGTTTTGTCAATTGTAGGGCCTGAACTCTGGGCCTGGGCACTGTCCCTCAGCTCTTCAGCTCAAGGCTAATACTCTACCACTTGAGCCACAGCACCACTTCCGGCTTTTTCTGCTTATGTGGTGTTGAGGAATCAAACCCAGAGCCTCATGCATGCAAGGTAAGCACTCTACCAGTGAGCCACCTTCCCAGTCCCTAGTAAGCCATTTGTTAAGAAAGAAATAATGAGCTGGGTGCCGGTGGCTCACGCCTGTAATCCTAGCCTAGCTACTCAGGAGGCTGAGATCTGAGGATCCCAGTTCAAAGCCAGCCCGGACAGAAAAGTCCATGAGACCCTTATCTCCAATAAACCACCAGAAAACCGGAAGTGGTGCTGTGGCTCAAGCGGTAGCGCGCTGGCCTTGAGCTGAAGAGCACAGGGACAGCGCCTAAGCCCAGAGTTCAAGCCACACAATTGGCAAAAAAAAAAAGAAAGAAAGAAAGGAAAGAAGGAAGGAAGGAAGGGCCAAAAAATATTTATCCTAACTCCAAACAATACATATATTGCAAGATTATAGTATGTAATGTGCAATAAATTAATCAAACCTGTAATATTGCTCTTTCAGGCAACAATGAGATGTCAAATGCTGGGTATTCACCGAGTTCAGCTAAGTCTGTAGAGTCTCGTCCTTCGCGTCTCTTTAATTTTAAGGTACTTCTCCATGCTTTCAATTGAAGGTCATGTTTCAATGCCTGCAGTGAAAGGAATTTACAAATTCCATGGGACAGATGAGACAACAGATTCGGAGAACAGTAACTGATATATTGACAGCACTACGATAAAGATTACTCGTCATCATCATCATCATCATCACAAAAATTATATTTTTTTTCTAAACCACCCTGACTTTATAGATCATTGCTCCTAGCCATCCTAAAAGATCAGTCAGCTACCCTTAAAGAACTTGTCTAGCCTTAGGAAAACTAAGGCCCACTAATTGAAAATTGTGGTCATTGGTATTTCAGGCATGGAAGGGAGGTGGTTAACACAGTAATAACAAAAAGGGGGGTCCAAAAGAAATTATTTGGAGATTTGCCTGATTTCTCATAAAGTTCCCATTTAACTCTGATACACCACTAAACACTGTATGAGAAACCAGAAGTTTTAAGGTTAATGAGTATTTCACCCTTCACTCTTCCACACAAAATTCCAGTGGGATGCACACATCCATTAGAACCTAAGGAAGGGCCACATGGAAGAACCAGCAGACACAGATGTTCCCTGCATCTGCCAATTCCTTTCCCTGAGTGAATGCAGAATTACTATTGGCCAACTAATTCTATGGCTAGAAATTTTTTTCTCTGAACATCCAGTTAATCATATATGTAAATATTAAGAATAGTATATTACCAAGTATGTACTATACACTATCTTTTTCAACTAGAGTGTGTAAAACATTGTGCACAGTGTATGATGAAGACTACAGGAACACAATCTGAGGTAGAACTACATGACTCTGAATGAGAAGATACAGGGTAACAAAGTAGAGACATGTTCTGAAGAGATGAGAGAGAGAGAGAGAGAGAGAGAGAGAGAGAGAGAGAGAGAGAGGCACCATTGAGAATCACAATAGAAGTGACAGGACAGCAGGAAAAAAAATGGAAAGCCAACAGAGAAAGCCAGTGGCTCACACCTATAACCCTAGCTACTGGGGATACAGAATGGGAGAATCAAAGTTCAAGGCCCACTCAGAGAAGAAATGTTTGCAAGACTCCTCTTCAACCCATAGATGGGTAACAGTTGCATGTATCTATTAACCTAAGCTATGTGGAAAGCTACAATTGGGAGCATTATAGTCCTAGGTTAGGCCAACCAGAAAAATCAATAAAACATCATCTCAATACAAAGCAGCTGATGTAGTGGCACATAACTATCATCCCAGCTATGACAGAAAGCCTAAAATGGATGCACTGTGGTCCAGGTGTATGTGCCTGGGAAGGAAGCAAAACCCTATCTCAAAAGTAACCAGTATAAAGCCGGCTGCCAGTGGCTTGTAATCCTACCTACTCAGGAGGCTGAGATCTGAGGATCCCGGTTCAAAGCCAGCCTGGGCAGAAAAGTCCGTGAGACTCTTATCTCCAATAAACCACGAGAAAATCGGAAGTGGCGCTGTGTCTCAAGCGGTAAAGCGCTCACCTTGAGTTGAAGAGCACAGGGACAGAGCCCAAGTCCAGAGTTCAAGCCCCACGACCATGCAAGAGGCCCTGTGTTTGATCCTCAGCACCACATGCGCAGAAAAAGCCGGAAGTGGTGCTGTGGTTTAAGTGGTAAAGCTTTATCCTTGAGCTGAAGAGCTGAGGTACAGTGCCCAGGCCCAGAGTTTAGGCCCCACGACCAACCAACCAACCAAACACACACACACACACACACACACACACACACACAAAACCAATTAGCTCTCCAATAGGGTGGGGAAACTGAATCCATAAGGAAGTAAACCAGGTGGCCCAGAGTGGGAGAGCCATATTAGTTGGCTATGGAAAGAGAGATAGGGTCTGACATGGACCCACCAAAAAGTTTAAGAAGCAGGGAAGTAAAGAAATGAAAGGCTTGTGGTTCATGGCCCCTTCCTCCCTGACAAGGAACATGTCTCCTCACCTAAGGATCACTGCAGAAGCAGAGTGGAGAGAGCTGCAACAGGTGGAGGGCTCTCCCTCTGGGAGTAGCCTCCCAACTACATGTGTTTGCTTCCAAGAGGGACTGACTCCTGATCCTGTGGAGCATGCAACCTCTCCAGCCTCCTCCCTCCCACAGGGTGGTTAACTGCTGGGTGGTGTCTGGCAGCACTAAGACTGACTAGACTGCCACCAGCAACAGGTGTTTGCTGCCAGGCATGCTAAAGAGTATGATCCCAGGTCCTGCACTGAGACTGGGAGGTGGAGCGCCTGAGTCCCTCCCTCCTATCCAGACGCAGTGCTCTGCTTACTCCCACCACTCTCCCACACAACTGGGAGAAGCTACAAGACTTGGACATCTTTTGATCCTCAGAACATAAAATAGTAATTTGTAGAGCGAGAGGGAACCTGCCCAGCCCACAAGCTGCAAAGCTCGGAGCTGCCAGTAGCAGGTACCAATCCACAAAGAGGGGAAGCTTTAAAAACAACAACAAAAAAAAAAAAAAAAAAACTAAGAGGGGAAGCTTTTGAAGCAGAGAACTAACCCTTGACAAGTCCCACCTTCATCCCACATCACAGGAGATTTGACACTGAAAGAGACTACAACTAGTTTTTCTCTTTCTCTGAGTGGTGCTGAGGATCAAGCTAGTACACTGAGCACATGGGGAAATGGCTGCTTAATGAGCTATCCCCCTAATTCAATGGTCAGAAACTCCACTCCAACCCAGACACTCTACAGACCTGCCTGAACAATAAGAATACTTGAGGCCTGAGGGCATGCTCTAGTACTAGAGTATCTGCCCAACAAGCATGGGAAACTGAGTTCAAATGCCAGTACTACACTTCAACTGAAAGACAACAACTTGGCCTTAGATGCATAAATCCCAGCACAGGAAACACAAGGTCTATGAAAAAATAAGGCAACACGACTCTTCCAAATAACAGCAACTGCACAAGAATGAACTTTAACAACACTGCAATGTACACAATCCCAAAGAATTTAAAAGAATCATTGTAAGAGAATGACCAATGGAATAAAAATGAACACATTTATTAAGTTTTTATCATTTATGTCTCTATTTAGTTCCATTAGTTTCTCTTTTACTTTAGCATTATTTATTCACCTAAATGTCTGTTTCAGCCAAATTCTCAGTGTCTTTACCAAAATTTTAAAATAAAATGATAAATATTTTTTTCCTGGATATTCATACTTCAAATGAAAAAACAGAAATACAAAATAATTGGGATAACTAAGTGAAACTTATGCTATTAGCAGAGCAAAAAGCCCACCAAAAACGTAATATCTACTATTTTAGTGACAATATTATTACCATAAATTAATATGATTCTTTAAAATATTGGTTTCCAATATACCATACCAGCTCATCGTCTCGAATTTTATTCCTTCGCCTTACTTCTTCCCGCCAGCGGTCTATGAAAACTTTTTGCCTGTATGTACTGAACATCAGATGCAAGTTTGATAGGGTCTCTGGAGAGAACGTATTAGAATACTGTATATAGTTAAAGCTATTTCCAAAAAATCCTAAATGATTTCATATTCTATCATAACAGCTTACACTATGGAACCAAGGTCGCTTCTAATAGTTGTTTTTGTTTTAATTATCACCAAAACTAAGTAGGTTTATCAGTATTCAATAGTACTCCTAAGACTTTATGAACCTATAAACATCATTTTTGTCCTTATAAATTAAGATACAACAGAATACAATTGCTTTTTTAAAGCAAGTCTACTCTTTATAAAAAACAGAACTTCTAAACTTATTTGTAAAAAAAAAAAGTCACAAGGTAATATTAAAAAGTTAATGTCCTTGAATTTAATACGCCTTAGAAATAAAAAGATTGCCTTATATACATTAGCTGGAGTCCAAAGCACAATTACAGGAACCAAGAAGACAGAAACAGGCTTGGGAATAAGCTACCAGAGGGCAGGCTCCCACCAAAACTGTTGTTTTGAGTTTGGGAGATTTTTTTTTTTTTACTTTTCTTTTCAACTGGATTTGGATATCTGGTTTTTATGTGAGTACTTTCCGCATTTAAACTTGTCACAAATTTCTAAAATTTGTTCAATATTGTGCAAATAGAGCAAAGCATGTCAGCATGTCAGTTTCCAACATCACAGTTGGAACTTTAAAAAGCCTTTGACTTTCCCTAAATCTGCCTTTGTGGGTAACTGTCCCTTTGAACTTTGTTATTTTTTCCTGATATCTATGACCTTTCAGAAGCCTGTATCTCAAGTTGTTTAACTAATTAATGTTTCTCAAATTGGTACTGTCAATTGGGCACCGATGGCTCAGGCCTGTAATCCTAGCTAGTCAGGAGGCTGAGATCTGAGGATCATGGTTCGAAGCCAGCCTGGGCAGAAAATTTCCCAGATACTCTTGTCTCCAAAACTGGAGGCAGACAGCATCCAGGACCGGAGTTCAAGCCCCACAGCCAATAAAAAAAAAGAAAAAAAGAAATTTAGAAAATTGGGTATTGTGGCATTATTAAGAATGAATAAGATTGTATTATTCTGTATCTGCTCCATTCACTTAATTTATCTAAGTGAACTATTTTTGTTCCATCATTTTATGCTTAAGGGTTTGGGGTTCCATTTGAACAATCCTAGTTGTAAGTCCCACTCCCACCTGAAGAACAAGCAAAATCAGTTGTCTTTTCAGGGCAATTATCTTAGAGATTTCAACACTTTTGTATTGACATGCAAAACAGAGGCTTAAAAATTATTTCCTTAAGAGGGATGGGGTAACAATGATTAAAAACAATGTACTTATTGCCTTACCTATTTAACTGTAACCCCCCAGCTCTTCACCATTTCAATAAAAAAATAAGATAGCATATTTTCTGTTCATTTTTGATTAAATGCCTTTTGCTTGAATTGTTTCCCACAAAATAACTTCCCAAAAGTGCTTAAGTTTATTTCAGTTTTTATCTTTTAAGTTATAACAAGTATAAAAAGAAAACATTCTGGGGATAATTACTGTGTTGTTCTATCAGCAATTGTGTATTCTCTAAGCTAAATAAGCTTATAATATTTATTAGACATTTAAGACTTTATTACACTATTATACAATGTATAATAAATGTTTAAATATTCATTATGCTTTATTAATTTTATATCATTTTGATGGTACCACTTTGAAAATGATAACAAGGTTATTATTTGGAATTTCCAACAATAAATACTCAAGAAAAATTTTAACCACTTCATGACCAAGAGTTATGTAGAACATTGTGCTAATAGTGTGGCTGGCATACTCCTCAGTACTGGAGAAAAAGGAAGAAAGAAAGAAGTTGGGAAAGGAGGAAGAAAGAGAGTATGGAGAAAAGGAGGGAGAGAGGAAAAGAAAGTGTGTGTGGGGGCGCGCGTGCGTGTGTGTGTGTGTGTGTGTGTGTGTATGTGTGTGTGTATGTGTGTGTGTGAGAGAGAGAGAGAGAGAGAGAAAGAGTGAGAGAGAGAGAGAGAGAGAGGGAGAGAGATGCCCTGAGAGCAAGGGAGGAAGAGTAACATTCATAAAGTTCCATGATATGAATGAAAGTAGTTAATGTTCACTTTGGAAATTTTGGGACTGTAACTTTGAAATTACTTGTTTTAGAATATAAATCTTGCTGTATATATATATATATATATATATATATATACACATATATATACTGAATATAAATAATATGCTCCCATGTTATCTAATAGTGAGTTAAGATGATAGAAGAAGTAAAAGGTAAGATATAGAAGGAATATAGAAATATAGAAAAGAAACAAGTAAATGGAATTAGGGGAGGAGAAAAGAAGGGAGGGTAGAAAGAACATCAGCAATACCTCATAGTTCAACCTAAGCATGAGAAGTAGATTAGGAGGGAAAGGAGATTAAAGGTAAAATAGAGAAGAGACCAAAATTAAGAAGAGATGAAAGAATGAGAGGAAAAGTCAGAGTAAGAGAATGTTTGAGGGGGAAAAAAACAGAGGAGCTCAAAGAAGGACCGAGAGAATATCACAAGACAAACTAGAGTGTTCAGATGCAAAATCAATCTAGAAGTGCAAAGAGGGGAAAAAAGAAAAAACAAACAACAAAAAAACCTAAACTGCTTTTTCTCTAGAACTTGAAAGGAATTTTCATTCTGTAAAGGAATTTTGAAGAGTATCACCTCCTACTATTACAACCATGCTGAGTGTTACTTAG